CTAACATGCGTGCTAGTCATTTCTGGCTCTAGGGGGCGGGGCTCATCTCTGTTTCAAAGCCGAAGAGCCAGCGCTGTCCAAAGACGGCTCCATGGTCATGTGGCCAGCATGACTCAACACCGAAGGCTCACAAAATGCTGTTTCTTTCCCACCAAAGGTGGTCCCTATTTTTCTATTTGCATTTTTTATCTGCCTTTCAACTGCTAGGTTGACAGAAACTGGGACAAGTAACGGGAGCTCACTCTGTTATGCGGCGCTAGGGATTCAAAACGCTGAACTGCCGATCTTCTAATCAAGAAGCTCAGCATCTTAGTCACTGAGCCACTGTGCCCCTATCCCATTGACAGTGATGGGATTCAACATTTTTTGCTACCGGTTCTGTGGGTTTGGCGTGGTGGGCGTGGCAGAGGAAGGATACTGCAAAATCCCCATTTCCTCCTGATCACCTGGGACTCGGGAGGCAGAGAATAAATGGGGGTGGGGCCAGCCAGAGGCGGTATTTACCAGTTCTCTGAACTACTCAAAATTTCTGCTACCGGTTCTCCAGAAGTGGTCAGAACCTGCTGAAGACCACCTCTGCATCCAGAGTAAGAGATAGCTTATTTGGAGCAAAGAGTAGTCAATCTAGAACCGAGTTCCCCAACATTTTCAGCTTTGCAGACTGGCCAGGGGGGTGGGCAGGGAGGGGACGGTTCTGTCCACGCGGCTGGCAAGCTTGCACACAGCTCCATTTGCACAAGTGGCGTGCATGCACGCCTGCCACACACTTAGATGGAGCATGCAGGTACATGCTCGCCTGCTGCTTGTGCAAATGAGGATGTGTGCGCCCACCCTCTCGCCGTCCATTACCGCAGCCCGGTTGCAAACCTCTCATGGCCTACTAGTGGGCCATAGCCCACAGATTGGGGGACCCCTGAACTAGAACATGGAGTAGCTTATCTAGAACAAAGTGGGAGCATTGATATCACCATGACGTAAGCATCTGGCTTGGTGCTCATTAATCTTCTTGCCCTGCAAGCTCTTTTACAAAATCTTGTTTGTCATAGTAGCATTAACAGTAATTATACAAGTGGTGCGATGGCTCAGTGGTTAAAGACTCTGAGCTTGTTAGCTGGAAAGCTGACAGCCCAGGTTCGAGACCCGAGTTCTGCATAATGGGTGAACTCCCGCTCCTGCCTCAGCTCCTGCACAACTAGCAGTCCGAAAGCATGCGAATGTGAGTAGATAAATATGTACCACTCTGATGTGGAGGGAACAGCATTCCACGCACCTCTGGCATATAGCTATGCTGGTAATATGACCATGGAAATTGTCTTCAAACAGTGCTGGCTACCTTGGCCAAGAAATTGAGATGATCACCGTTCCCCAGAATTGGACACGACTGGACAGGAAAACTTTTATCTTAACAATAATAATCTTAACTTATTAAGTGAACAATATACTTATTTATAGCAAGATTCTCAGCCATCCCAGTCGTAGTTGTCGCAAAGGTGCTTTTTCACAAAGGCTTTGTTTTTCCTTGAAGATGTTTCACTTCTCATCCAAGAAACTTTTTCAGTATTTGCAGCAATGTTGTCTTCACCAACTTTCAAGGCAAAAGTGGTGGTTGTTATTGTTCCTCCCAGCGAATTGAGTCAGTCTTTTTATTCTGTAATAAGAAGAAACCTGAGAATGAAAGGAAACCAGGCTGGTGTTTTTTAACCAATGAAGTTGAAAGGCTGAGCTGAGTTGAGATTGGACAACCATTTATTAGGAATGGTCTCCTGCCTTAAGCAGGGGATTGGACTAGAAGACCTCCAAGGTCTCCTCCAATTCTCTGTTCTATGAGCACAAAAAGAACTCCGCAGCTTCCACCACGGCTTGGGAAGGCACAAAGATGGTCTTGACATAGTTAGGCGATCTGCCATCTACTGCTTCCCCCGTGGGTTTCTTCTCTTCCTCTATCTTCGTTGAGTCTTTATGCTGCCCAGGTTCAGGTCGGTGCTGGGGCTCAGGACCCCGGACAGCACCCTGAAGTTCGGGGTAATTGGTGAAGTCTTTTAAGGGAGATTCGGGTTAATGTCAGGGTTCCAAACAGCATCCAAAAGTAAATCAGAGTCCAAGGCAAAGTATTGCTCAAAGTTCCAATTTTTTAAGAGAGCCACATCTGGGAAAACCCAAATCTGAAAGCTTCCAGGTTTTCCCCATCCAGTTGGAAGTTCAAGATCTTGCCTCCACCCCCACAAGCCCATCACATGGTCCAGTCTTCCACTGCCATGCTGGCAGTTCCACCCATCCAGTTCCTGTCAGGTGCAGAGGCAAAGGATGACCTTGGCTTTCTAGAAAGGAATTTTGTTATGGCTACATAGCATCTAAACTCCGTACAATCCTCCCTCCCATTCCCCCACCATAGAAAATTCATAGTAGAATAATAGAAATTGTGGCAGGCCAAAGATCCAAAAGAAAAGACGGTTGCAGGCCTGACAAGCGGATTACATTTCCTCTTGTCTTGTTTCTTTAAAGTTATTTACTTGGGAGGATAGCAAATTGTTTTAGCCACTCTTTTGAATGGGCATGGCTTATTTTCATGAAATAAACACCCCGTCTCTGGATGGAATAAAGCAGATAATTGTTCTGGCCTCAACCCTACTCCCAATGTCTCAAATTACAAAAAGAAACGAGAATACCATGGTCCACAGAAAAATTATTTGCATTTTTTATATTGCACTAAATCAGGGATCCTCAAAGTACAACCCCTGGGCAGGATACGTGCAATGAACTCTTGTGTTGCTGCAAAGAGTTTCCCCCTTCAAGGTCTTTTTGTGCAGGTCG